TATATATATATGTACACACAGTGTATGTATCATCAAACATAATAGTAATCTTAATTACTAATAATTATTGAATTTTAATTACAAATGTAAAAGTCATCACTGAATATTCAATAAATCGGAGAAACACGTATTTAATCTCATAAAGAAACGATAATTTTGCCAACGTCGTGTTTATCATATTCCTTTCCTGTGTTCTTCATTTACGATAAGCACGATCGCATGAATTATAACGGATATAAACTTACCTGAATGTTCGCCTTACAAGTGAAACATACGATCACGAAAAGCAGGATAGGAATAATGTTGTAATAGAAGCTGGTCCAGTTGTCAATCTTGAAGGCTGCGACGAAAGCACCGACCAACATGAGAAAAATCGTACCCGGTCCTAAAATCGTTCCACCTGGAACGAGGATTCGAACAATGAAAATTTAACCGATGATTTTTAAGAAAGAGAAATAAAATCGGAGAATAAACCGACTAACCCATGAGCAGGATTTGATAAGAGATGTAGGGAAGAGAAATGTTATCGTTGATCTTGATCGTTCGTTTTGCATCCATCAGAAGGTCCATGATATTGGCAATGGTCGAAGGTACCCATCGGCGACGCTGGTTGTAAAATTCGTTGAAACCTTCGGGTGCGTGGGTGTAAGCATCGCTGGCTGCTGAGTATTCGACCTGCATTGTAAAATATTTAATTGTCGGAATGTCAATTTTAGAATTGAGATCACATGTAACGTACGAAATTAATTATTGGGAAGATTTAATGTTTAATGAACTTCGAAGGAATTTCAGGGTGGTTTCTCTGAATAGCCTACCCTGTAACCACGTTGCAAGAGAAGCGTGCAAAGCCACCGATCCTCTCCTTGATCGTATTGAACGTAATGTCTAGCCTCCTCGGATCTCGTCGTGTACTTCTTCATAACGTTGTCGTCCATCAAAGCTTTCCCTCTGAACAGCGAGAAACAACCAGGACTACAAAGTACACAGCCGATCATGTGCTCTGTCGCTTTTTGCAGCCAATGGCCGATAGCGTACTCGAACATCTGATACCACACCATAGGACCTAACCGTCATAAAGAAATAAGACA